GCATCTGCAGTATATCCTACTAATATCTGAAATCATGAAACATAACTACAAAAGAGCATATCACCACTTTCAAATTGTCATATTCAAAGAAAACACAAACCCATCTGGCACTTGTTTGAAGCGTTATGTTAAACCTTCTGTTAGTAACACACTGTTGAACATTAGAGTAGATTATCGTGTCTCGGTAAACCAGATTACCCTAGGTCTTGGCTTGTATCACAGGGAATTCAAATGTCAGTGTGTGAAAGACTCAATTCTCTGCTCCACCTGCTACTGGTGTCTATTTCTGATGGTTTAATTCCTGCTGAAATGAACGGAGTTTCATCTGAGTTGCTAGCAGGTTTTAGTTTTTCTGATGGATTGTGAGGGGAAAGAGTTGATACAGGTGATTTCAAACTGTTTTTAAAGTTACCTGTTAAAGCAAAAAATCAAGAAGCACAAGAGCTTAAATGCCATAAAAAAATACTTACCAAAGAAGTCAAAACTGAGATGAAAATTAGTATTGAGGAAATAGGAAGCATCGGCCTTTCTCCAGGAGCAGCTAACATCTTCCTGCGTGCCATTTGAGCCATATTCACTGACCTACTCTAGAAAGAGAAACAAAAACCTGACCAGTCCTTAGTTCTCCCTGCCTGCCTGGTTCCAGCAACTTCCATACCAAGCCTAGTGTCAGGATCAAGATTATCTTTATTACAGAGAAGTGATGTCACACCTGAGGGAGCATTTTGGATAATGTCCTGGATTCAGCAGGGTTAGGATATGGAAATGGAAGAATAAAATAACTAGCTGCATATCACTTACAGAAATCTGGAATTATGACTGAGGCTGTAAACCTCTTCCCTTTCCTTTATGATTGAGGCTGTAAACCTCTTTTTTCCTTCCTTTAATGATTTGCAGGAAAGAGCTAAAAGATTAGACCCTCCTTGTGTATTTTGTGAACATTTGAAAAACTAGAGAAAAAAAAGTATTTTGTATGTTTAGTATTTACCTAAAAGTACCTTACAGAATGGGTGATACCATGCATCCCTGAAGAGATATCTTGTGTCTTTGACTATAAGGCTGTTTAAAGCTAAGCCCAGATTTTGTATTTATACATCAAACACAATAAGAAAGCTATCAGAAGCCTTCTAGAACTCTCTTTTTTAAATTCCTTTTGAATACAGGGTCTACAGGAGTCTGGCAGAGGACTGAAGTGTGAGTTAGCACTAGAGAAACGCCTAGTGTGTACGGGCAGTCTGTCAGTCTCACATCTTGAGGATGTCTGTTACTGTGAACTGTGCTGAGGAATTATTGTCTTCATTTTACAGACTCTCAGGGCACTTACTTCATTAAAGTCAAGATCTTGCTCCTCTTCCTTTCATACAGATATCTACAGGTAGTTGCCATAATGGTACCATAGAAAACTCTAGTTCTTATAATTCTGAGTCAGTATAAAAGGGTATTTAATCATAAACAGTACTGATTTTTAGAGGAGTTTTAAGCCTTAAGCCTAAAGAAAGATCTTTACCATTTATATTCCAACTGAAGACATAAAGAACTAAGAAATCTGCAAACGTAACTCCTTATGGTTTCCTTTAAGGTTAGGATATGGAAATGGAAGAATAAAATAACTATTCTGAGTCATCAGTCCTTGCTATTTAGAAATATCTACCAACACATTATAGTGGAAGAGGGGGCAGATAAAAATGCAACAGTCTGCAAAATAGGCTGAGTAGAAATAATTTTCCTGTCGTGAAGCTAGGCCTTTGTATGCTAAAGAAAGCAAGAGTAATGTATGCAGAAGAGTACACAAGGATAAACATGACTTTAGCCAGGAGGAAATAGAGCTAAGAGAGTGGTGCCTATATTCAATGTATAATAACTTGTTAAACTAATGTGTACTAACCAAAACACTACCTAATAACAAATAAAACACCATTATATATAATGAATCATTTTAGCAAACCAAAGAAAGAAGCAAAACCTTTGAAAAATGGTTGGTGATTGCAATTAATTCTGGGTTTGATAGAGATACTAGAAGTCAATTGTCTTTTCAGAAGGCAGACGCTTAGCCCTTAAAAGTCCTGAACTTACCAAAAAGATTGTTCTGTGATTAAAATTGTACAATATTGTCATATCAAAATTACATGAAATGTAAAATGTGTGAAAGTTCCCTTTTTTCTATTAACTGGAGTAACCAAACCGATGTGCAAGAATGCTTCATGAAATAATGATCTAGTTCTGTTGCATCCAAAGTCAGTATCACGACTTTTAAGCATCCAACTATCAATGTTTAAAACAGTGTAGTTGTGCATCCTTTTGAGTTCCCGGCTAGATATCTTGCTTTTAGTAGCTACTACTTGTAATTAAGGGGTCTTTTCATTCCAGTAGGAAAATTTGTTTCCTATAAATGAATATAATCTTGGTCTGATGAAACCAAAATCAAGGAACAAATTCCATCAGGTAAATTATGGAAATAATGATGATAATTCCAACTAGATGAGTGTTCTGTAGTTTCTATTTTGTCACAGACAACAAAAAATTACCTCTTTGGTTATCTTATGGATGTAATTATAGCCACTCCAAATGCCATGTCTCAGGTGTATCTAGGGACACTCCCTTTCTCCAAGCACTTGACATCAAAGACCTTTTATTTCTTCAAATGGTATTTATGTATTTTATATGAATTAGAAAAGTTTCTCTCTACTTTTGTACATTATTCATTGCAGTAATATAATATTAAACTTCATTTTGCAGTCAGCCACATAGAAAGGAGAAAACATTTGACCTTACTTTGCAGTGCACAATATGAACATGCAACTCTGGAAAAAGCCATAAAAGTTGCAAATCGCTTGAGGCCTTTATAGATATTGCACCATTCTTCTTCTGTTGCAAAATGGTATTTCATGGTTTTGACAAGTTCATTGCTAACTGTCTTTATTGGCTGCAGCTGGAATTTTCAAGAAGTACTAAATTACACTCAAAATTTTGGAATCCTTTTGCCAAATGCATTTACAGTAAATTTTCAAATATGATTGAAAAAGCTGAATGTTCCTCTCAATTGTCTTCCTAATTTGTTCAATCTTTCCTCACAGATCATGAAACTGGTAGATATTTGCTTTGCTCTAGATTACATTTAACCAAAGTTCACTGCTGTCTTGAAGTGCAAAGCCCCAAACTGGAGACACTTTTCTAATGCCTTAGAAATCCTGAGTAGAATATACGCGGTTTTGCAACTGGAAATTACGTTTACTTTTTTCACAACATCATGACATTCCTGAACTGTATTCAGTACAGGGCATATAAGGCCAGAAGGACATATCTCTTTGTGTAGCTCTAACAACATACTCAAATAGACCCCTTCAACCCTAAAACAGGGAGTGACTGTGTCCTGGGAGGGCACAAAACCCAGCATAGTACTATTGGCTTACATCCTGCTTCTAAGACAACATGGAATTGACTTACATTCAGTACCATGTCAGTAAACTGTAGCTATGAAAATACTTGTATGACCTTTAAAGTAGCACAAAAGTGAAACAGGCTGATAAGTATGTTACAAGGAACTGTCTAAAATAAGTTGTACACAGCTCTTGAGATAAGCCACGTTTCTGTACTTACAGATGGACAATCACACTTCCTGGTGAGGTTCCTGAGGTTCACTAGCTGCTGTGCAAACACTTAGGTCTTCCCCTAAAGTGAATGGGAGATGATGAGCTCCCCATTCCTTAATTCAGGTTAACCAAGCTACAGGTGCAGAGCAGAAGGGGCCAACAGTACACTGGTGAACTTAGGTCATTTTTTTGAGGAGTTAAATCATACATGGTCGTTTGTTTTATGGCTCCCAGCTAATGATGTCTTTATCCACAGCACTATATCTGTACTTAAATGGGAACTGCTTTCCTAGATGAGGACTAGAAAGCTCAAAATTTGTAGAATTGAGGTTCTAACTGCTCTTTTAAGAAAATAACAATGTTCCACACATGATTTTAAATGCTACTTGGGTATTTTGCACATCTATTAATGCTGTGAAGGATTTCAAGCAAAAATAATTAGTAAGCAAACCAGAAGTGTGTTTTACGCTAACTAAATTCTAAGAATCTAGAGTTTGTACCTCTATTTTCTGTCTCTTGGGAAGTTCCTAAAGCGTGATTTCACATTTAATGTTTCAGGAATATAGTTGACAATCCTATTATTTTATTAAATTATCTATAGGTACAATACCCAGAAATTGCAGACTGATGAAAAGGATGCTGTTTAAAGAGAGATAATAAGTCTCCACCATACCACTAAAGTTTCTTTAAATGTCGTCAACTGCAAAGGATCTAAAGGCTCCTTCCATGAATTCAAATACTTCTTCTTGCATGAATGCATTTGCATTTTTCCTTTGTATAATTAAATATGCCTTTCTACAGAGGGTGGTGAAGACAATTCACCCTTCTTTAGTCAACCCAGTGGGAAAATAACTGCAATATGGGTAGGCCATTCACCCAGAAAATATCTGTAGTATAGACTATTGTGTAGCAATTTCGAACATACATGAAACAACACATCCTTGCAATCCCTATAGACCTAATCTTTGTATAGCCTTCCCTTGTCAAGCCTGATAGCATTACAGGTTATAAAGGCATAATAGCTTGCCTACCTGGTACAATTTAGACTTGTTTTCTTTTCCCCCTTATTCAATCCAGCTGTGGAGTTAGCTACACTGAAGCATATCAACACGTGCCTATACAATGGCTTGCTGATGGTTATGTTTATTAAAGAGTAAAATAGAAAGGAAGGCTGTAATTAGGTCACCAACAGATTTGAAACATCATGTTGCTGCAGACATTTGTGGGGTGTTCTAAGCTGAACTGTAAAATTACTTTCCATAGAGACCTATTAGTTCTATATACCTGTTCCTTGTCGACATTATCAATAATTTAGCGTTACAGCTACCTGAAATAAAATATCACATTTTCTTCCCATTCACAGCTATGCTTGCTTTCAGACTTACATCTCTGCATTTTTCTCTCCCCCAGGTAATGCATTTGTGGTGAGCCTAGCTCTGGCTGATCTGGTGGTGGCCTTGTATCCATACCCCCTGGTGCTCTTTGCTATTTTCCACAATGGATGGACATTGGGTGAAATTCACTGTAAAGTGAGTGGCTTTGTGATGGGACTGAGTGTAATAGGCTCTATTTTCAACATCACTGCAATTGCAATAAACAGATACTGCTATATATGTCATAGTTTTGCCTATGACAAAGTGTACAGCTGTTGGAACACGATGCTGTATGTCTCCTTAGTCTGGGTATTAACAGTAATTGCAACTGTGCCAAATTTTTTTCTTGGCTCTTTAAAGTATGACCCACGCATCTATTCATGCACATTTGTTCAGACTGCAAGCTCCTACTATACCATAGCTGTTGTGGTAATACACTTCATCGTCCCTATCACCATTGTGAGCTTCTGCTACCTTCGAATCTGGGTTTTAGTGCTTCAAGTTAGAAGACGAGTCAAGTCAGAAACAAAGCCAGGACTGAAGCCAAGTGACTTCAGAAACTTTCTTACCATGTTTGTGGTTTTTGTGATTTTTGCCTTTTGCTGGGCACCTCTAAACTTCATTGGACTGGCTGTAGCCATTGACCCTATGAAAATGGCACCAAAAGTTCCTGAATGGTTATTCATTATAAGCTACTTCATGGCCTATTTTAACAGTTGCCTTAATGCAATAATATACGGACTTCTTAACCAGAATTTTCGGAATGAATACAAAAGAATTTTAATGTCACTGTGGATGCCAAGGCTTTTCTTCCAGGACACGTCCAAAGGAGGAACGAATGGTCAGAAGAGCAAACCTTCTCCTGCTTTAAACAACAATGACCATGTGAAAACTGAAACCTTGTAAGCATGTAATAGTCAATGCAAGAGTTGATTATGGAGAAACCCAAGAATATAGCTGTTATGTTCTGTTCATTCTTGGTAACTTTTGGGGGCTTTCCATTTGGATGGCATTTTGTGGCTGGAATACTGCCTTCTTGATAAAGCACATTGCTCTGAACTCATGATTTATATAAGATATCAATTTAAAATGTACTTCAGAATTAAAGGAGCAGGTGAACACAAGCTGTTTGACTTCTGGGAGCTGTATCCTACTCCCAGACATATGAATGAGTCATTTTTTTACTTCAGTGGGACTTTTACATTCTTTATACAACATCAGATACTTTTCTATGGCACAGCAGCTCATCAAGGCTGTGGAGTGATATTTTCCACCCTCCTGTATCTGAACAAAGAGGATGAAGCAGATAAATACAGTCTGTTCTCCACACATAAACCAAATATCACATTTCTGTGCATGTACTGGTGGCAGTAGCAGTATCTCTGAATCAAACTTGTAAATTGGAGAGAATATTTGTGTAAAAGCAATTAGCATTAGATCCTTTTCTCACAGATTTTTCATATTTGCATACCCTGAGATTGGGAATACAGTGTATTTACGTTGTTCACCTTTCGTGGTCAATTTTATGGTAGATAATATAGTACAAATGGTTGATTTCTTACATATTTACTTTACACAGTATTCTTCCTTTAGAGAGGATTGAATTTTCATTGTGTTCCGTTTATTTACCTTAGTGTATACATCCAATGTCATCTGATGCACACTTTACACATTTGCAACTGGCTAGAAATTATGGCACATGACCTGTAATTATCTGGAGTAGCGACTAGTCACCAGGCAGGATATCCTAGAACATCTGACATTATGCTAAACCAAAAAAAGAAGGCCTTTTGACTATAATGGTAGATGAGATACTCACTTTACATGTCTACATCTAATCTTGAATAAAATCCACGGTTGGTGTCTAATCTAAGATAACCTTCAAGGTTCCTTAGAATGGACATATGTTTCCTTCCATCTGTGATGATAAACACACATCCAGGGATTAAATGAATTGCTTTGTGGAGGTGCTGGTCTCCTTTCATTGGCTTTAGAAGGAGCTTTGATTGCAAGTTCAAATATCTCACTTTGGGTAGCTGGACAGGGATTTACCTTGCCTGATTAGGAATGTCTGCAGCGTAGGTGTTTGCACACCAAGTATTTTCTAAATTCCCACTCTAATCCATGGCATTCTAGGAAATGGTTAATTTGAATCTGACACAGGCAAATTCTCCTCCCCGTCCCAATGGGGCAGGGCTGAGGGGAAGACAGCGCTTAGTTGCTGGATGGGCTTAAACCACAGCAATGACTTCCCATTTTCTTTTCAAACTCAGTTCAAATTCAAAGCAAATTTCTTCTTTTTCTGGTAACACATTGTAATAGTAAGCATATAGAGCAGATTCCAATCTGGGCTATACTCCACAGCATCATAGTAGTCTACACAGTGTAGTTTGTGTTATCTCTAAATCAGATTAGGGATCTGTGTGTAAACACACAGTCAGTGAAGTTATTTTAGAATTATACCTGAAATGCACATTATTCTTACTAGTGCTGTTCATGGGAAAGGAGATGGGCTTCTGGTAAATCCATGTCAGGTACTAAAATAGGAAATGGAGAAATTCAGGTCTATATTACATTCCAGTTTAGGTTTCCTGACCTGGTTATTGTGGAAAGTATTTCTGTAGTAGTGTTGTTAGCCAATATACTGCTCCTGAAGTCATAAAGATGCATGAAACATCAACATCACCCTTATGTTGCTACACGTACAGAAAAATGAAGAACTGCAGTATTTTTAATGCTTTATTTGCTTGACAAAAGTCTGTGTAAAGCACAGCAAAGTAACAAACGTGACAGCTCTTCTAAGCTTCTTTCTTGCTCTTCAGATAATTTCTGATAAACTCTGAAGTTCAGTACCCTAGGACTTATAGAGTATTAGCCTGAGGAAAACTGAAAACTTTGTGAATAGGGATAAGAAAGACATGAGACAAATTTAAGCTCGTGGTAGGTAGTAAAAGCATTGTAGCTAAAAGTAGCAACATTAATATGTAACCTACATATTAATAGGTAATATGGTTATAACATGAGTTGAAAGTATATTCAGGAACAACATATCAGCTCTGTTTAGATTTATGCATCTTTGAGGAAATAACTATTATTTCTATTATAGAAAAGTAATCATACCAGCATATCAAATACAGACACTTTAAGAATATGAGGAAGAAAGAAAAATCTAGGGCCTTGGGACAAAGTCTGTTTCCAGAAAATATGGAGCATTTTCAAGCATGTAAAGTTATCTTGATTAAAAAGTGTTGTATTTTGTGTTTATTATAAGAAATAAATCTATTCTAGAATTGTTCTTACAGTAGAGTCCTGATTGAAAAAACCCCAAAACTTAAGAACACATTTAGATAAAGATTATTACTATTATTTCCCAATTGTATTTTTAAAGAACTGCACAAGCCTGGGAATTTTCCAATGAATAAACAGCTGCAGAAAATTGTATATAATTCTTAATGCATATGTAACAAGATTTTGGTTATCTGAAGAATTTCTTGCATTTAAAGGTATTTGCAAATTTTAATGGAAAATGTGGAAGACTACTTTCAGTCATCTATTGATACGGTGCTATTTTAACTGATGTATAATGATAATAATCAATATTTTGACTCAAGATATAATAAGCATACAATGAGACTGCTGTGGATGTCGGTTGCAGAACACTTAACTGATTCCTGCTCATCATCTTGTTAGTAACACCTCCAGCTGTAGTGAGAAACAAAATGACTAAAACCATTTTTTAAAACTCTGTTTTTATAAACATTTTTGTGGCATACTCTGGGGTAAGAACTGCACTAAATGCATTGTCAACAAGTGTCTACTCTGAATTTAACATCTGGAGTTAGAGGTGGAAACCACAAGGAATATGACCTGCTGTGTGGTCCACCAGACCCGGTCACAGAGGTAGAATTGTCACATTCATTAGCTGTAGAGATTTCTGTGCTCACCCTGCCTGCTTTAGTCCTTGAGGATAGTTGGGAACAACCTATGGAATACTGTTGGTGTCTTCTCACAGAACAAGTTATTCTCATGTCATTAAGCAGGCAAAACTCCAAATAGTTCAATGGCTTCAGAATAAAGCCTTGAAAGTGCTATATAAAGAATCATTCTTTAGGAGAACAAAGAAGAGTTGTTGACAGTAATAGCATTTTTTAAAATCATATTTCATGTCTGAAATACAAGCCAAATAATTTTACTCATTGTCGTGGTTTAAACCCAGTCAGGTAACTCGTTCGCTCACTTCCCCCCCTTTTCTTGCCCTCCCCCTGCTCTCGGAGGGACGGAGAGGAGAATCAAAAAGAATGCAACTCCCACAGGTTGAGATAAGAACAGTTTAGTAACTAAGGTATAACACAAATCACTACTGCTACCACCAATGATAATAATGATAAAGGAAATAACAAGGGAAGAGAATACATCATCTCACCACCAGCCGACCGATAACTAGCCCCCCAAGCCCGACCAAGCTCCGACCGATACCTCCTCCAACCCTGCCGTCTCCCAGCCCTTCCGGCTAACCCCAGTCACACCCTGGGCATGACGTGCTGTGGTATGGAATACTTCTTTGGTCAGTTTGGGTCAGGTGTCCTGTCTCTGCTTCCTCCTGGCTCCCCCTCCTCCCTGGCAGAGCATGAGGCTCACAAAGTCCTTGGCCAAACCAAAACATCGCTTGTTATCAGCTCTGTTCCCGAGCTGAAAGTCAAAACACTGCACTGCACCAGCTACCAAGAAGGGGAAAAATGACTGCTACTGCTGAACCCAGGACATTATCCACCCCTTATTCCATACCATTCACGTCATGCTCAGATCCCACATTTTCAATATACCATCACTCTTATCTCAGTGCACTCTTATCTTAGTGCATGGACCAGTCCCTATAAAGCTGCTGAGTCCATCTGGTCCATGATGTCAGGCTCCATCTCTTGTAACAGTCTTCCAGAGCAGGAGAGACTGTGTGCAGTGTTCACACTCGTGAATAACCTGGGCAATAGTGTCCATTGCTAAGTCCACCCCTCGATCATGAGTCCATCTCTGTGTTGCATCTCTGCTCTGATGGCCTGAAGTGCATTGGGCCCACCAGGCTCAAAATAATTCACTGTCCCCTTCAGCAGTTTCTGCAGCTTGTTGCTGGGGACTCCATACAGCTGCCTTCCATCTCCGACGCTTCCAAAGCACTGGAGGGGCCCAGTGGACTAGATACTTGCCCATACTGTCACCCACACCCTGCCACTCCTGGCTGTCCAGCCTTGGGGAAAACCTCTTGGTCCCCCTGTATTGTCGTCTAACCCCAGACAAGACCCAAACCTGACTCTGCTTAACTTTTGAGATCAGACAAAATGGTCGTGGGTAGAACACAGCCTGTGTGTGTGCCAACATGCTGATCCCCATCACAATCAGCAGGCAGGTCCCAAGGACACCCAAAGGCCATTCAAAACCTTCAGAACTCTCAACTGATGCTGCTGTCCCTGTCACTAGGGCTGGTGTAGCTGCTGTACTTGTCACTGGGGCTGGTGCAGCTGCTGTGCTTGCCGGCTCTCCCACCGCCAGCTTCTCTTTTCCTGAGTCCAGCTCTTCCTCCTCTGCCTTGCTGGGAAATGCTGCCTGGTCTCCTGCGTCCTCCTGGGGCTCGGCGGGCGGCTGCCGGGGGATGCTCTCGGCCGTCGCGGGGCTGGGCTCGGCCGCGGGGCTCGGCTCCTCCGCGGGGCTCGGCTCCTCCGCCGCCTTCTCCCGCTGCTCGGCAGCCCCTTCCTTCTGCTCCTCGACCGCCCCGACCTCCTCCACCCGCAGCCGTCCCCTCGCGGCCTCCGGCCCCGGTCCCGCCTCCGCTTGGTCCCCGGGGCCGCTCTCCCGGGCCGCTTCAGCAGCCGCCGGCTCCCGGGGCCGCTCCCCCTCAGCTCCCCGCAGCCTCACGAAGATGGAGAGTAGGGTGAGGGCCAGGACGGTGAAGAGCAGCCGGACGGCCAGGTACAAGTCCACGGCCACGTCCGTCCCGCCCTGCTGCTGGAGCCCGCCCGTATTACAAGCCATTGCCATAAAGCACAGTGAGACAAGAACCTTAGCCCAAGCCCCATACTTGATAAACACTAACACAGCAAATACCGGCTCTACGTAAGTTACAACATTCTGAAGCTGTGAGATCAAGCGAAACAACTCTGAGAGCCAATAAATCAGCATTGTGACGAGTGACTATTAATCCAGTCAGATCTGTCGTTATCTCAACCCTTCGTGCCCCACGTTGGGCGCCAAAAAGAACTGTCGTGGTTTAAACCCAGTCAGGTAACTCGTTCGCTCACTTCCCCCCCTTTTCTTGCCCTCCCCCTGCTCTCGGAGGGACGGAGAGGAGAATCAAAAAGACTGCAACTCCCACAGGTTGAGATAAGAACAGTTTAGTAACTAAGGTATAACACAAATCACTACTGCTACCACCAATGATAATAATGATAAAGGAAATAACAAGGGAAGAGAATACATCATCTCACCACCAGCCGACCGATAACTAGCCCCCCAAGCCCGACCAAGCTCCGACCGATACCTCCTCCAACCCTGCCGTCTCCCAGCCCTTCCGGCTAACCCCAGTCACACCCTGGGCATGACGTGCTGTGGTATGGAATACTTCTTTGGTCAGTTTGGGTCAGGTGTCCTGTCTCTGCTTCCTCCTGGCTCCCCCTCCTCCCTGGCAGAGCATGAGGCTCACAAAGTCCTTGGCCAAACCAAAACATCGCTTGTTATCAGCTCTGTTCCCGAGCTGAAAGTCAAAACACTGCACTGCACCAGCTACCAAGAAGGGGAAAAATGACTGCTACTGCTGAACCCAGGACACTCATCTGTCAATTTACTGAGGTTTCCTTTTACCTACAGTCATGCATTAAAACCAGCTAAATCATAACAACTGATATTATAAGCAGTGATAAGTGAGGTCTGTTGATGCCAGCTGTGTTTTTTAATTGCAAACAGTGAGGTTTTGTCCTTAGGAGAAAAAACTCATGGCAAACCACTTGTTTGCATGTATTTATTGTAAATATAACAGTTTAAGAGTGTAAGCACTGGTTTTCCCAATGCTTTTCAAATAGCAAACCCTAATTCAGGCTTTAACAAACTGCAGCCTTTTTGTCATGCTTTAATTGCTGTCATTGGAATCAATGCAAATATAGTGGTTTTGCGCTAGATTCTTGCAAGGGTTAATTAGTCTTAGTCTAGTGTTTTAGCCAATAGCACAGCAGGAAATAGGAATATCAAGCAACATTACATCATTAAACATAGTGCATCAAAAGATTTTATGGGCTTTATTTCCCTTTGCCTTGAAGTGGCACTAGTCTTAAATTGGGTGTCATTGCAACACCACGAAAGCCTGTTCTGCTGCTAAATTTCAAGCAGATATTTAGTATTTAAGTGTATATTATATAATTGGCATACATGAGCTATAAGAAAGTTACTGCTGTAATTGTTCTGGATACACTTGGGCCACTGGTTACAATGCTCAGTTTTCAGCTGGAAATGCAAAAAGTGAATGCAATGGCTCTAACAGGCCTTTCTGCTGTATATCATATATTTTTATGGCATTCAACTCATGTGTATTAAAGCACATTCTGCATATGGAGATTTTTTTTTCCAGTTTTGTTTGTGTGAAGAGCAATTAAAAAGGAAAACAAAACCAAAACCCAATGTGACAGTGTCCCGTATATCGAGACCATCTTTCAAATTCATTACATGCAAGGGATTAGAAGGCCTCAAGTACCATTTCTTTGGGGAAAAGTATACAGATCCTGGAATTTTCTGCTCCATTTCATTCTCCATCTATTGTTCCAAAAGATACCCTTGCCTGTTGAACAGCCCATGCCATCATTCTTAACTTTTCCTATGGAAAAAAAAAAAGAAATTGCATGGATTGAACTGAAACCTTTCAATCAAACCCGGTGCTATTTGAAAGAATTTGTTGTGCTAGTGATGTATTTAGTTCTGTGTCATCCCTACTCCACTCCAGAGGCCCAAGGCTTTGTTACAAGAAGCCTCTCATCCCATATTCTTTGCAGCCTGAGGATTCTCCCTCGTGTGCTCATTTTCATGGAACCAGAAAAGGATTTTACAGTAAATTTAAATGTGACACGTGTTAGAAACAATTGGAATAAAATGGGAGTATTTTGTTTCCCTTTTTTTTCCCTAGATGATATTTTTCATAAGTAGTTTGAATGGGATGCCTTATAGTTTAATAACACAAAGCTAAAACATGCAGTACTGTTCTTGGCTCCATGGAAAACTCAAAGTAGAGAGTGTGGTGTCTTACAAGTATGAGTATTCCTAGCTTAGACAAGGCCTCCTCATGACCAAGGGAAGGACAAGAAGCCAGCACTTCTGATGGCTTTCAATTCTGGCTTCCTAGATTTGCCCCACTGAGGTCCTGGGCTGTGCTCGCACTAAAACCCCAAGAGCATTCCATACCCTCAGCATGGGTCATGCTGAAGCAGCTGAAGAGAGAACGGCAGCTCCATAATGTATGGTTCCTTGTTCCTCATGATTCAAAAGAACCTGAATCTTCTTGAGATCTGTGATTCCCACTGGTCCTGTATGGCCCATATGTGTGAGTGAAGGAAGACCCAGCTTGCAGAGCTGCTGTGGAGTTTGATATGGTGGCAGCATACACATAAGGATAGCTAATAAATATCAGCTACACGTATATGTGGACAAATAATACCATACATAAGCATACAAGCTCCTTAGAGTTATGTCATAAAGACTCAGGAGGGTGGGATTAAACTGTTATTTATCCATTTGCAAAACCACTATGAGCCTTTAGGAGGGATGCATTCAAGAAATTGAGACATAGGAGCGGCGTTGGAAAGTCTGATCTTAGGTCTTCAATTTGTCCCATAAAGGGAAAGTCTTACTTGAAATTTCCTAGTCCACCCTTTAAACCTATTTTCCAAAATTTAGGATAAAATGATAGGTATTAATAATATGTGTCTTAAACTCTATAGGGCTTTTTGTATTAAGAAATGTATTATTTCTTTAGGAGTTCTGTCTCATAAGAGGTGTATGTATTTTTGGAGGGTAAGCACAATCTTCTCTCATTTGGCCGTAAGTAGTTAATGCATTCTTTCTTTTTAAGTGGCTGACAGCTCACTTTGTTGCATTTGAGCAGTGTCTTCATATCATTAATTGGACAAATTGTAACACAGTTTTTAAAGGAAGAAAACCTACTTTTTAAATTGTCTTTAAAGAAAACACAGCTACAGGTTCGGCAGAGAAGAGATTCAGAGCAGCCCTGCAGAGAAGGACCTGGGGGTGATGGTTGATGAGAAAATGAACATGAGCCGGCTTCAGTGTGCGCTCGCAGCCCAGAAAGCCAACCGTATCCTGGGCTGCATCAAAAGGAGTGTGACCAGCAGGTCAAAGGAGGTGATCCTACCCCTCTACTCTGCTCTCGTGAGACCTCACTTGGAGTATTGTGTGCAGTTCTGGTGTCCTCAGCATAAAAAGGACATGGAACTGTTGCAACAAGTCCAGAGGAGGCCATGAGGATGATCAGGGGACCGGAGCACCTCCTGTATGAAGACAGGCTGAGGAAGTTGGGGCTGTTCAGCCTGGAGAAGAGAAGGCTGCGTGGAGACCTCATAGCAGCCTTCCAGTATCTGAAGGGGGCCTATAGGGATGCTGGGGAGGGATTCTTCATTAGGGATTGTAGTGATAGGACAAGGCGTAAGGGGTTAAAACTTAAACAGGGGAAGTTCAGATTGGATATAAGGAAGAAGTTCTTTCCTGTAAGGGTGGTGAGGCACTGGAATGGGTTGCCCAGGGAAGTTGTGAATGCTCCATCCCTGGCGGTGCTCAGTGCCAGGCTGGAAGGAGCTTTAGATGACATGGTTTAGTGTGAGGTGTCCCTGCCCATGTCAAGGGGGTTGGAACCAAATGATCTTAAGGTCCTTTCCAATCCTAACTATTCTATGATTCTATGAAAAGCAGGGATTTTATCATCTCATACTTATTGCATGTCTTGTTTTGCCTTTAGGCATGCTGATAGATCTCACCTGCAGTGTGAAGCGCCAGGAAAAGAAGCAGGGACCCAAGTGATCTTTAGGAAAGCATGATAAAATACTGTTTGTAATGTTCACCTTTCTTCCCTGCTATATGACATCAATGAGGGCTGAATCATTTCCTACAGTTCTTCAGAGACATTAGCTGCTGGAAGGATAATGGCTATTTCTTCATGCAAAGACAAGTGTTTCAGATTTGACTGAGGTTACTCTGGTCACCTGAGCATTACATTAGGTTATTTTGAAAGAAGGAGTAAACTAAACCTAAGAGACATTTTTCAGATGCCCTCATTCCAGGTAATCATTGCACAGCTTGCTATGAAGCCCCTGTGATTCTCCATCACAGCCCTTTTCATTTCTATTTACTGGATTGGCATAGGTGGCAAGATTTACTTTATGAGTTTCAAAAGCCCAGGATTCTCTCTTTGAAGCTGCAACAGAACTTTGTAAACAAATCACTTCCTCAGCTTTGAACTTTAGCAGCAGTCTGTGATTTTAAAACTTCATTTAAATGTTAATGTGTTATTTTCTAAATTTCAGACTTCTAAACTGCTGCGTGGTTTCCAGACTTCACAGTGAAGGTTTTAACGTTAAAATGACATTTCCTCTAGATTATACAGAAAGGATTCTCTGTAGTTACATAGAGAAAAGAGAAAGTCAAGGGTTTCAGCAGATGAAAATACACCTGTGGTCACAGCTGAGTTGTTCACTGATTAGCTACAATGAAGTAGAGAAAGGCACTTGGAAAAGAGCATTTAAATGCCCCATGCAGCCACAAAACAAACTCGAAGCCTCATCCCATGCTGCATAGATAGCAGCGACCTATAGCTACAATTGATGTATTTACAGAAGACATACATGTACAGTTTGTAGACTCACGACCAAACTACCAATGGTAATAGCAATTGCTGCCTTTTGATGTAGAAGCCTCCACAAGACAGATTTCATTTTTCAGTACTGTAGCAATAAACATACATGGTTACAAAAGGGTATCCCTTCTGCCACAAGTATATGTTCTAAGTACATAAAAGGCAACAAAAACCATCCCGAGTTCATGTCACGGTAAAACAGGAAGGAAGTCTCTTGACCAGAGTGGAATCAAGTAAAAGTCTTCAGGAGCTGAAAGACAATACAAAAAAAAGGATCAGCTGCCAATTCTGTCCATTATTTACTATTTATTTCCTTCATTCAGTGCATCCACAAAGGTTCAACTCTTTTTTTTTTCTGGAGTAGAAAGAAGCAACAGGAGATGTGTAGAATATCCACCTATACGCTGCATTTCTCCCTGTGTTCAGGGATCAGCTAGAAGGACACAGTGGTTATGCTTACTACATGTACTTCATCCAAGATTCTGGGGCATCCATGAGTTGAAACAATATAGTTTTAGATTTGCCTGTTTCCTGTGCATAAGGCAGTCATGTTAATGTCTTTTTGTTAGTGGATTAAGCCATGTATTAGGTATATTAAACCACCAACAACATCTGAGTATATGGGGTCCTACAGATTTGCTAATGGCACCGCTTAGTTGCCAAAGGGCAACACATTTGTAAGTTGCACAATAATTTTCTAGACTCAAGTCCTCAAGATACAGAGAGTAGTTTCACTGGTTTTAGCTTGATTTCACCAATGCTCCTTCCTTTTAGCATGTTCTTAGAGTACTCCATATGTGATATTGGCTACAGTTTTCCTCCACAGATGAGTAAAATTCCAGGGAAATAATTCTAGAATCATGTTAAGATAAATCCACAATAAGCAAACAGTAACAAGATCATACCTATTCCTTTTTTCATCCTTATTTTCAGGTTTTCAGGTCATGGACACATATACTAATTTTTAATCCTATATTGAGGGTGCTTCACAGGCTAAATAATATATCAATTTCACAAAGGCGACCAGGTTTCCTTTCAGATTAAGGTACTATATACGGGAGACAATGAGGAAGTATTCTAAGACACATATGACAAATAACCTGTGGGAAATGTGTAGACCTCTGGACAAACCCTAGGGCATTTCAGATCATTTAAAATGCCTTTGCATAGGTTGGTCAATTGGAAAACAAGGCGTTAAGAGCATATTTCCTGATGAGCAAGAAGGACTGATGGACAGGCAGCAAGAGCCCTCCGTGAGTTGTTTGTTTCCTTTAATCAAAACCAGCAACAAAACCAAAACAAAGACTCATCAAAGGGGTGGTTTTCCCACAGGAATAAGAAGGAGGTGTAGTCATTATAAACAGGATTACAGAACCCTGTGGAAGGCAATTAAATGTTTTCTGACACACCGCACAGTTGTAATTGAGGTCTGCAGGGGCAAAAAGGCTTTGAGCAGTTATTATTTATTCACTAATTCAGAAAGGTCCTTTTTATTTACAGCCATTTGGGCTTAACTAACTACATAGACTATTTATAGCATCTGAAGTCTGTTCATCATTCGTTTGGAAACAAATACAGCACAACCACAGTAGGTAAGTTAAAACCCTGTATTATGTCATCAGGATGGGGGCTAGAGCCTTCTACACAGCATTTAGAGACACTCCTACACAGACCTGAATCACACTGCGTGCGAAGAGTTGGACAGCTCTCCTTGTTGCCTCTCCTTGACCACAGAATGGGGAGGATTTTCTGCAGGGAACCTAGCAAGGAAGCAAGCTAAATCATGTAGGCAGATGACATGCAAAAATCAATGGAAATGTTCAGGATTTTAAAGCTTTGCAATATGAATAATGCTTTTCAATAATTAGAAACATTAATGTAGCTTTGCAACATCAATAATAAATAACTGACACCAAAGAAAACCTCACATTTACATTGATGTATTGTAATGGGCTGTGGAGATTTGGAAAGTGATGGGTAACTCTATAGGCTATGTAATAACTAGTTTTGAATGTGGTTTCTCATCCATCAAAGCTAAGGGTCTGTTTGAACTGGTGTTTTAAGATTTCTTCATATTCCTACATCACCATTTTCCTTGGATAAAGCAGTTAAAATAATGAGTACTTTGTCAGCTTCATTTCACACAAGCATCTTTAGTACAAACACCTATCAGTACAGCAACTACCTTTAATGAGTGAATGACTTGAAGTGATTAAAAAAATTAATTCAAATTTATTCAAATTAAAAAAAAATTGAAAAAAATTGACAATAATAATATCTAATGTCATTTAAAGCAGGTCTTTTCTTACAAAACCCCCTCAAATCTCTACAATGTTATCCAACAAAATCATGGACCCCTAGAAAACCAACAAAGCTAATGGGGACCTGACTTGCTTTTGCAGACCATGTAGAAGTCTGTAGTCTCCAGTGATACAGAGACCTCAGGCTGAAAAATCACATCCGAAAGAGGTACAATTCCCAAGACTGAGAAACATAACACAGTCTAAAAGACCAATAAATTCAACTCAGGTGTCAGTGGTGGATAAAGCTGAACTGTGGAGGACTTGACACATAATTCAATAAAATGTCAGCTCTCCAAGGAAGAAGACAGAACGGTTCCCAAAATAAACGAGGGAAATACCTCCACTCTTATCAAAAAGGGAATTATCTTAAAGGTAGACGTGAGGTTTATATCGCTCATGTTCTCCATTTAAATTACCTGTTGGGTTAGATTAAATCCCAGCAGTGACTCAGTTCTGACTTTTCAGTTATTTATAGATCAAAGTTAATTTGAAACCTTGCTGTACATTCAATAGTAGATTCTTTCCTCAAAAGGTATATATATTACGTGCATAAAAAATACCATAAGATTAGTGTCACACATTCTGTCTGTGGCTGACTGATGAAAATGTTTCTGTCTGTGGCCTATAGAATCATAGAATCATAGGATAGTTAGGGTTGGAAAGGACCTTAAGATCATCTAGTTCCAACACCCCTGCCATGGGCAGGGACACCTCACACTAAACCATGTTATCCAAGGCTCCTTCCAGCCTCTCACTGAGCACCGCCAGGGATGGAGCGTTCACAGCCCCCCTGGGCAACCCATTCCAGTGCCTCACCACCCTAACAGGAAAGAATTTCCTCCTTATATCCAACCTAAACTTCCCCTGGTTAAGTTTGAACCCGTTACCCCTTGTCCTGTCACTACAGTCCCTAATGAAGAGTCCCTCCCCAGCAACCCTATAGCCCCCCTTCAGATCCTGGAAGGCTGCTATGAGGTCTCCACGCAGCCTTCTCTTCTCCAGGCTGAACAGCCCCAACTTTCTCAGCCTGTCTTCATACAGGAGGTGCTCCAGTCCCCTGATCATCCTCGTGGCCCTCCTCTGGACTTGTTCCAACAGTTCCATGTCCTTTTTATGTTGAGGACACCAGAACTGCACACAATACTCCAGTTGAGGTCTCACAAGAGCAGAGTAGAGGGGCAGGATCACCTCCTTCGACCTGCTGGTCACGCTCCTTTTGATGCAGCCCAGGATGTGGTTGGCTTTCTGGGCTGTGAGGGCACACTGAAGCCGGCTCATGTTCATTTTCTCATAGAGTCCTTCTCTGCAGGGAGAGTCCTCCTCTTCTATACCCAATGGCTGATCATTTCTCTTGACATCCATTGGCATAACTGTCCAGGTAATTCCTTCCTAGCAGAATTCATTCAATAAAATCAGGACTACAAAAGATCTACTTTCAACTGTTGATGAGAAGGTAGATCATGTCTAATTGGATTAGACAGCAGTTCCACGAGCATTTATGCTGGCAGATCAAAGATTCAGAGTCAGAATCAGTAGCTGAATGAAGAATGAGGCTCTACAAAGGTCTCACACATGTGACCTCTGATGGCAGACAACATGGGAGATTCTTTCTTTGTATATAGGCAACTAATGCGGTTTTAAATCACACAAGATTTTAGCCTTTTTCTTCAGGAGTAAGAACTTGAAGAAGGAGAATTGGAGTTTGGGATTGCAGCAGAAAGAATCAATATCCTTCCGGGTGCCTTCCAGGCAGACTGGAACACTTGGGCTTGGTGGCAACATGTCCTCCAACCAGGCACCACTGCCTGAGGGTAATAGACTGCAGAAGCAGGTGAACATAAGAGATTCTACTCTGCTCTTGTGAGATCCCGCTTGGAGCACTGTGTGCAGCTCTGGTGTCCTCAACATAAAAAGGACATGGAACTGTTGGAGCAAGTCCAGAGGAGGCCATGAGGATGATCAGGGGACTGGAGCACCTCCCGTATGAAGATAGGCTGAGAAAGTTGGGGCTGTTCAGCCTGGAGAAGAGAAGGCTGCGTGGAGACCTCATAGCAGCCTTCCAGTATCTGAAGGGGGCCTACAGCCGGTGGAAAACTCCCCTTCCTGCAGCTGAAGCAAGTTGAGGAGGTGTTTCTGGAAATTCCAGCCTTGAACTTTGAAAATCTGATTGCAAATGCACAGCAGGCATTTCCTGCAGTGGTCAAATCAGGTAGCAAACCATGAAGAAAACTTAACCTTCATTCCCTTAGGTACATATATTAAAGATCTTTTCTCATATAAGCTCACTCTGTATAAGCTTCACTCTGTCGTAGCTCTTTGCCTAATAGCTATGGAGCAAGAGTTGTTCTGCTCTACCTTGCATATTTATTCCTCAGTAATGGCATTGTGCTGAAAAGGCAAAGCTACGAAATACTGTATCCACTTTCAAAAGCTAAGGCACTGGGAAGTAAGCAGTTTATGAAAGTCAGATAGACACAAAGACTGGAACAGAGGAGTCCTGGTTCCTTCGTACAGGAGAAACCATCCCCATTGCTTCCAGATTAGCCAAGGCCATACTGCAAGTGTTGTACACTTGCAGAACTGCACAGCCTTCCATTTTTAATTAACTCACAACTTGTGTTACTCAGAGGCCAGTGACTGGAACCCTGCTGTGCTCAGACACAGCACCATCTGACCTGCAAAACTAGCATCTAAAGGCTGACAGCAGGTGGAAGAAAAATAAGGTTATACTCCTCCTGTCATAGAAGGGAACTAAAGTTCAGGAAAAAGCATGCATTTTGCTCAAGGAGGCACAGAGATGTTGCAAACCTACAAAGTGAACATGGGTTACTGAAGCTGTAGGCTACCATCTGAGAGCTGGTTGCACCCCCTTTTGTCAGGGGGAATCTTCTATGACCTGAAAGATGGTGACATTGGTTTGATATAAATAAAGACCACATTCAAGACA